CAAACACGACAAGGAAAGTCAGTAGCGGGATCCTGATCGCTACTGTGTTGAACAGAGTTTCGCCACCCCTCAAGTCGAAGCAGATATAGCCGAAGAATATTGTCCGCCTGACAGCGCACCAGCAGCACCTTCTACAGTTCCGCAGCCATCTACGTCAGCGGCCGAAGCATTGTTCGACTCCTATATTCCTTTGACATGTGCCAACAACACGAACACTCGGCTTTTCATTCCCCTCTTGGACCCGTTGCGTCCTGCCAGGTTACAGGCTGCCTATAATTATGAGGAGCACCTGCGCCGACAGAAAAAAACGCAGCATCACATGACGGTGCTCGCCATCCGCCATCCAAAATTGATGACGATAGCGTCGTCGAAGTTTGCCAACCACATCCTCGTGATGACCAATCGACTCTTCAGATCCTCGGCCTTGCTGTCGAAGTTCAATAGTCAACGGCTGGGATCGAGCCGAAAACAGTCAAGCATGCCCTCTCCGGCTCTAATGCTGCCAAGTGGCGAGCACCTATGGATGCAGAGGTAGCAGCTCTCGAGAAGTGGATTACGTGGAAACTCATTCCACGCAAAGTAGCACGTGGCAAGAACATTCTTTCGGGCAAGTGGGTCTTTCGCATAACGACAAATGCAACAGGCAAACCAGAAAAATTCAAGGGGAGATGGGTCATTCGAGTTTTCGAACAAACCCATGGCATCAATTATGACCAGACTTTTGCTCCGGTCAGCCGCCATACCACAGTTCGAATTCTTCTCGCCATTGCCGCCAGCCGCCATCAGCCACTTCACCAATTGGACGTTTAAAATGGTTTTTCATACGCAGACGTCGATGCAAATATATTTGTCAAAACCCCTCACACTTACGGCGACAGACTCCACATCTGCAAATTACTTCAATCACTCTACGGCATCAAACAAGCTCCTCACTTGTGGTAGCAACATCTTCACAAGGTTCTTATTTCACTCAACTTTGTGCAGCTGCCCCACGACCTTGGAATGTAAAGACTCGAATTTCGGGCATACTACATTCTTTTAGTCGCCTACGTGGACGACTTACTATACAACGGCTCGTGCAACAGTCTTCTGGCGCGCTTGGAGGAAAGAATCCAAACGATTCTTGAAGTGACTATTTCCTCCAACGTCACCCAATTTCTTGGGTTAAACGTTGACTGCGGCCCCGATGCTACCTTTCTTCAAGCAAGTATGCAGAAACACTTGCGGAAAAGTTCACCATCGATCCAATCAGCCTCACCTCTCTATTTTATCATACTCCGGCTGATCACACACCAAATAATACCCCACTTACCGCCTCCGAGCATCAACTTTACCAGCAGCAGCTCGGGTGTCTTCTATTCGCATCCGTTACATGTCGCCCAGATCTTGCCTCCATTACAAGTCAGCTCGCACAGTACCTGCGCCGATATGAAGGGGAGAATATGGCCGATCTTTATCGAGCCCTCCAATATTTCATTTGTACTCCTACAACTGGTCTCAGCTAGACGACAAATACTGCAGCAAATTTTCGATTGATGCGGATCACGCTGCTGACCCCGACAACAGGCGTTCGCGTACAGGGTTGATTTTCGAACTTGAACCAGGTGGTGTCATTTCCTGGAACTCAACGAAACAGGAGGTCATCCCACTTTCGTCAGCCGAAGCTGAATTCGTCGCAGCAATCTTTGCAGTTCGCGAAGGACTCTATCTTCAGGAGTTACTTCAAGAGGCGAAAATCGCAACGACCCGTAACTTCAAGTTACTCTTCGACAACCAGAGCGCGATCAAGATTGCAAACAAACCCGGCTTCATCAACAAGACAAATCGCATTGCCCTTTGATACTTCTTCGTGAAGGTCAAAATCGACAAAGGGAAGGTCATCCTGAAATACTGCCCTACAGAAGAAATGGCAACTGATTTCCTAACGAAGAAAATCCCACGCAGCAAGTTCCAGTACTGCTCCAACCTGGTTGGAATCTGCAAACGAGGCGACTCTTATCCAGATGGATACACTCAGGAATGAAGGGGAGTGTTGAAGTATACACGGTGGAATTACCACTTATGCATTCCTAGCATTTTACTTAGACTGTACGAGTAGCGCGATACCTCATATGGAAGGACGCGCATGATGGACCTCAGCAGTAACGAGTAAACGCGTGAATAGTAGGTTCGGGCATATAGTCACCCGAAGGGTGATGCCACTCTTAGTTACACGAACGGTCACTAGTCATGTCACGCGAATAGTCGCAATACACTACGAACAGGTACATTCCGAATAGGTACTTCCTAGACGATAAATATGCTTGTATCACGCATTATTATTATCCTTGTCATTTCTGACATTTCCAATACAAGGTGTAAAGTCTTCCGCAAACTTTCACTCGTGGTTCCACCAACTCTATATCCTGGCCACCCTAAACACGTTGTTCACTTCAATAACTCTATCGAGTATTCTTCAACAAGAATTTGGGTGACGCAATCTGATTTACGTGACAGGACTGCACAATAAGCTCGTTATAGCGTAAATTCCATTTCCTTACACATGATAGGAACGAGCCCAACAGTAGGATATAGCTGGGCAAAAACCAAACAAGCAGGTTTGGCAGAGCTCGAACGTGTGGCGAGAAAATGGGCTCGGGACGCATTCGAATGTGCATGCTGCATGGGATATGCCACGTTTGAGTAACGCGGCTCCGGTGAACGTAATAAATATTAATTATACAATAAGAAGTTTGGGAACCCCGTTGTAGTGGTTTACGCTTTACCAAGTGAAAGTAGAAATAAGGAAACGTCGTTTCCTTACAATTTCTACTGATAATGTCGTTGATCAGTTTTTCCCTCAAGGGACGTGGGACTAGGATCCCGGCCGCTCTCTTTTGGCGCGCCTCCAGATGCACCTCCCCATCTGTTTGGGTGGTTTTGGGATTCGGTCGGCGGCGGCCTTGAACCCACTGTCCTACACTTGTGGGTGGAGTCAGGCGGTGTCTGACATGGCCCAGTTGGGGGCCTCGGGGGAGGAGGTGATGTTGAGTTTTTCCGGGTGGGGGGGGGATTTCGTGGACCCATGGTACGCTAGGAGCCTCACTTTGTTGCCAGAGCCCGTGCGTCGGGAGATGCCTAGACTACCACACTGTGTTCTCAACCCCCCAGTTCGTCTTTTTTTTTTTGTGCAGCAGCGGCGTTTGGCCGTTGAGGAGCTTCGCTTCCTACGTCATCTCGTTCAGGACAATGCCACCTTGGTCCGTTTGACATCCCTTCAGGGCCCGGGGGCAGGCGCTTGGGTTTCAACGATTCCGGCGTACGCGTACTCCACGTTCACAGCTGCTGATTGGGGCATTGCAGGTGCTATCCGTCTTGGGCTCCCCATCCAGCAGTTGCAGGTGGTGGGCAGTTGTGCGTGTGGGGTGGCGTTTTCTGATTCGGTGGACCCACATCATGCGTTGTGGTGCCGGCATCAATACCCGCCCTCCAGGGTTCATGACGAGATCAAATTTGTTGTGGCCAAAATCGCTAAGGCGTCCAAGGGGGGGGGGGGGGGGGGGGGGGGGGGGCGGGGGAGGGGGTGTCGCTCGATGATGACACACTGCTCCTTGGGAAGCGGGTTGATGTTGTTGTCTGTCGGCCGATAGAGGGTGCGGCTCATGCGCTAGATGTGAGCGTTGCGGATCCGCTGTCGCTCTCTCCGCAGCTGGTGGGGCAGAGCGGGCGTACAGTAGGGGTGGCGGCCGAAGAATGGGAGTGCCGCAAGACGGTGGATTACCGGGCGTTGCCGGCGTGTCATAGGGGAGTGCAGTTCAGTCGGCTCATCGTCGAGACGTGGGATTGTCTCGGTTCGCGTTTTCGGCCGTTGTTGAAGCAGCAGGGGGATGTCTATCGGTGCGTGGCAGCATCTCCAGGGGCGTGTCGGGAGGATGATGTGGGTTTCTCTGCTTACCTTCTTGGCTGCGATCGGGGTGGCTCTGCAGCGTGCGCAGGCTCGCGCTAGTTTGTTGCGCGTCGCGACCACTATGAGGAGCCCAGACAGTGACCTTGTAGAGCGGGATTGTGATGACATGGGGGTGGAGTGGGGTGCGCTCTGCGTGGAGGCGCCCTATTTGTTCGATGGACGGTTTTGAGTGGTCAGGGATGGGGGTTTGGGGTGGGGGGGTTCGGGTTTTTGTTTGCTGGTTTTCCCACTGACTAGGGCTCGACGGGTTCCCTTTGGGTGGGTGTGTCCATGGTCCATTCTTGGTTTGTTCTGGTTTTTTGGGTTCTAGCGGTGGGATTGATCTGGTTGTCGGAGGGGAGCTCACTATCGCTCATTATTGATGGGGTTCTAGAATGGACCAATATGTTTGCTTATGGCAATTCATGGCGAGTAGAATAGAAGCTAGTGAATTAGCCACCCCATGAAGTGTGTTGGGGGTTGTAACTTCAATTTGATTTTGCTCTGTTGCACCTGAGGGAACCACTCGCAGCAGTGGCACAAATCCATTGGGGCAGCTTGTCGTCTTCTGATTGTCATTTCATCCCACAACACTCCGCTGACCTTTGTGGCATCTGTGGAAGTTTAGCCAGCTGCAATCTTTTTGGGCAGGAGGTTGATACCCAGTGGGCTTGTGGGGTGCCTCTCTCGGTCCTCCAGTTTGGTACGTTTTAACGGGTTTTCTCATCGAGATTACCCAATCCTTTGTTATCTCTTGCGACTGTCTTGTCCCTCAATAAATCCCCCCACATAGTCCCTCCCGACATTCCCAGCGCCAGAAAGGAAGCGGGAAAAGGAGGGACCGGGCACGAGAAAAACACAACTCCAGGTTGGTCTGCCTCACCGCCAATCATCGATGTCACGATCAACCAAACCTGGTGTTTTCCTCGATGTTTGCTCGCTTTGCTCTCCCCAAACCACATCAAATCAAACCAACTCCAAGGCTTCCATCTCATGCCATGCAGTACTGTACAATAGATGTCTCCTAGACTCACATGTACAGTCCTGGATGAAGCTTTTTGACTCCGTTTCTTGGGGATGGATTTGTCTAACGAGTTTTGTGCTGTCTACAAGCTTGCTTCTTGCGAAAACAGTACCAGGATTCTGGTACATTAGTAGCTTAGCCATGTCAGTCGATACTAATCAGGTTGCAAGGCGGTGCGAGGAACCATCCACACTCCCGCAGTCTTAGCTCAGCAACGTGCTGACAACATGTCTCCCTGTTTTTAAATAAGTTCCTACCCGAAGCTCGGGTGCATTTTGAGCCGACTCAAAATACCCCTTCACCCAATCGTGAAACCCGCTAGTTCTCGGATGGACGATGACCATGATGTGGGTAGCTACTATCGCGGCTCCAGAATCTATCCCCAGCTAGCCAATCCCCCGAAAATGGGGCCCACCATTTGCACATTCGCCATGACAGCCAGGCTGGCAGTCTCCAGCGGCGAGGGGCCCTCCTCCGTCGTCGCCGCGATGCCTGTTTTCGGCCAGAGCCTACTCGCCGAATCTTGGGATTCGCCCGACGAAGGCGGCGAGTCACCCGGACGACCCCAGGTAAGCAGAGCCGCGTCAAAAGCGGGGAGCAGCAGCAGCGCGAGAGATGATCCCGGCAACAGCGGCAACAGCGGCGGCGGCGGCGGAGGAAGGGCTGGAGAGGACTTCGAAATAGAGTTCCCGCCAACGGGTAGCTCTTCCCGGCTTGCCGCGGCTGCTGCTCGCAACGCGGCTGCTAGTGGCACCACTGCTGTTACCAGTGGTAGCCGAGAGTATGGTACCGCCGCATCGCCAGGCCTTGGCTCGGGTTCGCGAGGGATAGATCTACGGCGTGGATTCGGGTCTCAGGGGGGGTCGCTCGATCGAACGGCTCCGGGCAGCCGTTCCGCTCCGCATGTGACCGTGGCGGCGGCGGCGGCGCTGGCGATTGCGGCGGTGGATAAAGAGCAGCGACAGGCGAAAGCGGCGGCAGCGGCGGAGGCGGCGGAGGCGGCGGGCACGGTTTCTGGGCCGTCGTCGTCGGCTCCGAGAGCAGAAGCTGCGAATCTGCTCGGCCTGTCGGGACGAAGAGGAAGACGAGGCGACGGGGACTCGAGGGGAGGATCTGGTGGTGCGGGAGGCGCAGCAGCAGCAGGGGCAGGAGCAGGAGCAGCGGGGGTGGCCTTGGGAATGCCGCCGACTCCCAAGCGGGCGTCAAGGCACGGCCGGTCGCGGTCGTCCACGGCGTTCCTCTCCCTCTCGCTCTCCCCCTTCTCCTTCTCCTCCCAGACCTCCACCCCCCTCGCGATGTCCCCCCTAGGGACTCATCTCGCGCCGGATTTAGTGGGCTCCAGTGGCGCAAGCCCGCGGCTTTCCCCTGCTGACGTGGCAGCAGCAGGAGCTCTCGCCACGTCAGCATCGTCGGCGTCCCCCAGCCCGCGTTTGCAGGCGCCGCCGGACGGGCTGCAGCCGTCCTCGGAACTCGCTAAGAGCAGGCGCGGTAGAGGCAGCCACTCCCGCAGCCGCAGCTACTCCGAGCCTTTCTGGTTCCTCGGCCAAACCTCAGGCTTGGACTTGAAAAGCCCGGGCCGGTTCAGGTTCGGGCTCAAGGCTCTGTCCGTGAGCGGGGAAGGTGCTGAGGGCGAGGAGGGGGGAGGCGGAGGAGGGGGAGGAGGAGGGGGAGGAGGAGGGGGAGGAGGAGGGGGGGAGTAGGGGGGGTTGGAGCAACAGCAGGCGCAGGTGCGGGAGTAGGTTATAGTGACAGTGGGGCATCGTCGTCAGGGGACGACGCGTGGAGGGGGTTGGGTAGGAGAGGCAGAAGAATTCTAGAAGGAAGCGGCGCAGCTGGTAATTATGGGAGTTGGAGCAAAAGCCGCAGCAGAGGAGGCACACTGAGTCCTATCCGCTCCGACAGTTTCGACCGCTCACACGGTGACACGTGTCACTCCGCAACCGGCACTTCTGCTTCCCCACCCCACGGCCGCGTATCGTTCTCCGCCAGTGCGCTCCCCCCGCTCGCCATCCCCCCCTCCTCCAGCCTCGACGACACTCCCCAAGCCAGCCCCTTGCTTCAGGGGGGGGGCGGCGGCGGAAGGTCCTCCTCCCGCCTCCAGCCGTTCTCCCCCAGTCTTCTTCCCCCGATTCGCGCACGCACTGGCGCAGGCGGCGGAAGCGGAAGCGGAGGCGGAGGCGGAAGCGGGTTCAGCCCATGCGAAAGTCCGCATTCCAGCAGGGGCGCGGGGAGCGCGACGGGAAGCGCGGCTAATAGTACCGCAAATAGTCCGCGGATGCCCTTTAGTCCGCTAAGGTGGGCGGGACTAGGCGCTTTAGGGTTTCGAACGTCGTCTAGTCATAAAGCGAGCACCGGGGGGGGGAGGGGCGGGCAGGGAGGCGGAAGCGGGGGTGGCGGGGGGAGGATGACGCCGTTGTGAGTGATGGGGGCGGGGGAATCGGGGGAGTCAGCGGAGCGGGAGGAGGCGGAGTTGGGGGAGGGGGGGGCGCGGGGAGGCGGAGCAGAATGCAGCCTGGGGCCGGCGGAGGGGGAGGGGTAGGGGTAGGGGCAGGGCGGATGGGAGGGGCGCACCGGAGATCGCAATCTGTTGATTTCGTATCGCCGCGATTTGCCCTTTTTAAAGGCGGACTTAATCCTTTCTCCCCGAGGCCGCCCCTCGGCCAAGCAGGAGTGAGTGAGAGCCAGAATCAGGGCGCGAGTGCCTTCTCCTCCCTCTCCTCTTCCGCCTCCCCTCGACCTCCGCCTAGTTGGGCCGCTGACTCGTCCCCTTCCCCCTCCTCTCAACGCCACTTTTCTCCCGGTTCGCACCCCCTCTCCTCGCCCTCCGCACACCCGCGCCCGCCCCGTCCCAACTCCCCCCTCCCCCCGTCCCCCCACTACTCTGCTGACGCTATCCGGCTGATTGCTTTGGGCGAGGGGGGGGGAGATGCGGAGGGGAGAAGAGAGAGGGATGGGGAGGGGAGCGGGAAGGGAAGCAGGGGAAACTGCAGCAGCAGTGGGCTTTTATCGCCAGCAACGTCTGCAGCAGTAAGAGGAGGAAAAGGGGGAGGCGGAGGGGGAGAAAGCGCAGTAGCAAGAGGGGAGAAAGGGCACCGGAAGAAGGGAGGGTGGGCTAGTGCGTTCGCTAAGAGCAGCTCCTTCTCACCCTTCGGGCCTCCAAAGCTGGTTACCACGGGTAAGATGCACAGAAGAAGCTCCTCCCTGAGCACCTTCTCCTCTATAACGGAGCAGTCTATAGCGGAGCACTGTGTGTTGGCGCAAGGAAACGCAGAGGGGCAAAGGGGTGGGTCGGATGTAGGGGAGGGGTGGGACGATAGAAGAGGGGGGTTGCGAATCGGGGAGGGGAACAGCCCAGAGGCTAGTGACGGGGGGTTCATCACTAAGGCTGGAAGCTACAACAGCATAAGTAGGACTCTTAACAAAGAGTCAGATGGGACTGGAGAGGCGCAGAGGCAGGGCGCAGGTCGGTTTTGGGGCAGGTGGGAGAGGAAGAAAGGCGGAGAAACAGGGGCCAGAAGCGGGGAAGGAGGAGCGGAACGCACGGGAGGAGCGGAAGGCAGGGGGGGCGGGCTGGGTGGAGGCAGGTGGTCCTCATCAGCAGCGGGAGCAGGGACGAGGGGAGGCGAGGGGACTAACAGAGGCGAGGGGTCTAGCAGAGGCCCTCCTGGGGAGGGGAGGGGAGGTTCCCAGTCCCGTGAGGGGAGCTTCAAAGAGTCCCTGAGAGGGCGGTTCAGCCCGCCTCGGCTGCAGCTGGTGGACCCGGCTCTGCCTGATGGGTTTGGTGGGATGGGAGAGGTGGGAGACATGGGGGAGGGGGAGGATGAGCCTCTGCTGCTGCCGCTGTCGCCGACAGGCATGCCTGTTGCTGGGCTTCCTCCCCAGCAGCACCAGCACCAGCAGCAGCAGGCTTCGCACCTGTGTGAGCATGCGTTGTGTGCAGGGGCGGTGCTTGGGAGGGATGCTGCTGACAGCCTTGGCACTGGCATCACAGCGACCTCCCTACCCGCAACCCCCACACAGAGAGAAGCGCCACTAGGAGGAGGGGGAGGAGAAGGAGCAGACGGGCCGTCCAAAGAACAAGCGCTCCTTTCGTCGTCCCTGTCGTCACTATCAACCCGTAAACCCTGGGGCATTATATCGCAGAGCGCCTGTGCTGCTGCTGATGCTGCAGGTACTGAGGAGGAGGGGTCCATCTCTCCGCCCCCCACCTTTTTGGCCTCTTTCTGGACCATTCTGCCACTGCTTCCGCTCAACAAGTCTCGAGGTCGGGAATGTTTATGGGTAGCGCCGCTTCGGCTCTATCTGCTGATGCTGCTGCTGCCTCTGCTGCTGCTGGCCCGTCTGTTCCTCTGTCTCTCCACCTGATCCCACCGCCAGGAGAATCAGACAGCTTGGTCGACAGCCCGGCAGCTGGCCTTAGAGTCTCTGCAGCAGCCTCTTCAGGTGCTGCTGCTTCAGGTGCTGCTGCTTCAGGTGCCGCTGCTTCAGGTGGGGCATCAGCTGTTGATTCAGGTGCTCGTGAATCAGGTGCTGAGTCGGGGAGAGGGATAGGGTCATGCACAAGCAGCACTGGCGAATCAGGGAACAACAGCGTTGGAGCAGCACCAGGATTGATACCAGCAGCAGCAGCAGCAGCACCAGCAGCAGCTCCAGCAGCAGCAACATCAGCAGCAGCAGCAGCAGCAACAGCAGTGGCAGCAGCAGAAATTACTGTTCCCCGTTCTGTCTCCCGCTCTGCCCTTCGCCGCCCGTCTTCAGCACAAAGCCCGCTAGCCTCCAACATGCGCCACCGCCGGGCGGCGTCAGAGGCCCGCGACTTCCTGCACGAGCTGGGGGCGCGCCGCCCGGCCTTCATGAACAGTGCCGTGAATAGTGGCTTGCGGGCGGCTCACCATGGCAGGAGCGCGTCTGTAGCGGTCCTTTCAGGGGCGGTAGGCAACAGGCGCATGGGAATCGAGGATGCAGCGAAGGGTGGTAAGGTTGCTGATGGTGCTAGTGACAGTGATAGCATTGCTGCTGGTAGTGGGAGCGCTGGTTGGGAGAAGCTTCCAGGAAGCACCGGCAGTAGGGATGATGGCGGTGGTGGCACGATCCAAGTGGCAACAGGACGGAGGACGCGGCTTGGGCGGCATCGCTCGTCTGCTTCCTTGGAGATGCCTCGCCGCCCGCTCACTGCTGAGGCGTGGCAGCATGTGGGGGAGGTGGATGATGAGGTGGTAGGTCAGGAGCAGGTATACCTGATGCAGGTAGAACTGGAGCAGGCTCAGCTGCCTTGGGTTGAGACTGTACCAGGCCAGGAGCAACAGCAGCAACCGTGGCAGCAAAAGCAGCAGTATCAGCAGCGCAAGAGCCAGCAGCAGCAGCAGCCAGAGCAGGAGTGGGAAGAACAGCAGCAGCAGGAACAGGCAGCGAGTGCAGGGTGGACGCAGAGTGTGGGAGAGAGCGATTTGGAGGAGAGAGGTTTGCAGGGGCAAGCAGACGTGTGGGTGGCTGAGGAGGAAGATGAGGAGGGAGAGGAGGGAGAGGAGGAGGGAGGGGAGGAGGGGCAAGAAGACAGGCTTGTTTTCATGGACTATTCAAGTGAGCTGGCTGCTTCTGATGCCCGTGGATGCAGTGGCAAGCCTTCCGATGCACTTGCCGCTCGATCCACGCCCCGTGATAGCAACCCTCGGAACCCATATATTCCATACATAAACAATTACGTTCGAACATAACAAAAAAAACACAGGAGTGTACTACGATTGGACAGACGCTTATCGCTTTGAAATCATAGGGTTTAGAAATCGTAGCTTTTGCAAAACATACATTTTACATTTACACCCTGCCAAATGCTACGCGAACGTTCTGCGAATGGTATTTGAATGTTCTGCAGATAGTCGGCATCCTCGCTCCACCTCGAATGGTTTTTAGATTGCCACTTTTTTGCGATGCCGAAAAAGAGTACTACTAGTTGTGGGAAGTCCTGGACTAGTGCAGTGGCACTGCAAGATCACCGCCTCAGGCTGCTGCTACTAGGCAGCTCAAATAACCCCAAGCCTTGTTTCCCCACCTTGACACGTTCACAGCATCAGCCGTCTGGCCTTTCAGCCGCTGGAGCCAGACGCTGGTGCCATATGCTGCTCCTCGCCCTGGGAAACAGCCTTAGGCTGACTCTTCCGCGGACTCTCCTATTCTGCTACTATCCTATTCTATTCTTCAGGATCCTCACCCCTTGAATCTCATTCAATGAATCTAGACGGAATTGGTCTGACAACGATGCACCCTGGGTTTTGCTACCAGCGGAGAGCTACAGGAGACATTTTCTAGGATGAAGCCGAGGGGAAGGCTGTATAATTCTAGTGCCACTGGTACCGCCGCTTCGCGTGAAATTGTCGTTTCTGAGCTGCTAGATGGTAACAAGCTAGTTCAAGCAGAAGCTGGAGTGAAGGGAAGTTGGCTGGGGCAACTTGCCTGTGAAGGAACTTGAGAATTGCCAACTAGCCAGTGGCTCTGCTGGGTCGAGTGTGAAGTGCTTTATCTGGTTGGCCTGGGAGAGTGGATCACCAGACAGTGTGGTGCAAGGGTTCGTCCCTCGCCTGCCATTGGTTGAAACAAAATTTTGCTGCAATCTCTCTTGTTTCTTTTCCCGTGTCATCGACGTTTCAGGGTTTCGAAAGCTTTCCCCGTGTCGTCGACGTTTCAGGGTTTCGAATGCAGACAAATGGACTGTCCGCGGACAGGCCCTACTTTCATGGACACCACATCGAACTTTCACATCTCCCGTGGACTCCGTCAATACTTTCGTGGACTCCAGGCATACTTCCATGGACACACGCGAGTTTGAAACAAAAAAAAAATACAGAACTGTACAGATGCTGACAGGAGGAAAAAAGCAAAATTAGGCGTAATCAAGTCCCTCGCAAATAGTCGCAAGCTACAGTATTTTCAAGCCACCAAGTCCGCTAGCTGTTTCGCGTGTTTATAGAAACTCTGAAGCGATCCTCAAAATTCATTTGAATGACTGTCACGAAGCGCTTTTCGTTGAACGATAAGTGTAGCAGACCGACCTGGTGAAATATCGCTACAAAAAAATCACGTTGTAGAATAAAGATAGATATTACGCTTACAAGATTAATAGAGCTCATTAAAAATCTCTGCCTACCAAGAATCAGGAATACCATGAATTCTGGCATTTACAAATATTTCAACTAGTACTTGGCTTGCATTTTCAACTAAGATGTGAAATCTCAGAATACCAATAACGTTTGGTGAACATGACTATATAAATGGAAGGTTTCACGTCTTGATTGTATTATTATTAAAATTTCGGTACATAGTAAAATAATAATAGATGAGAAAATGATATAACTATTTTACATTCACGTTTTTGGGAATATGTTTTTTATGTGTGAACGAGAAACATACTAATGCAAATAAAAACAAGTGATTCTAAAAATTATATTTCTTAGGTGTTTTTTTCACAGAATTACTAATAATGAAATTATTTATTATGAAGGAGAAAACATCTGCTGGTTGATGCTGGCTCGTCAAGCACGTGCATATTATGTTTTGTTGGGTAGCTCTGAGTTGAATAATAAGTGTTTTTACCACGCGGACCCTAATACACCCTGTTTTTGAAAATTCACTGCATATTTGAGTGCGGCTGCAAACTCTTCCCAGAAAAGCTCCGAGATTCTGTTTCAGAACTGGTTTCCGACACTGTAGCTCGCGATTACTTGCGACGGACAGATATTCTGGAGTATCTCGATTTTTGTGCCCGTAATCACTCGTACATTGCTGAATACTCCTTTTTAACTGCGAATATGGGTGTGTCCATGGAAGTAAGCCGGGAGTCCACGAAAGTATTGACGGAGTCCACAGGAGAAGCAAAACTTCGATGTGGTGTCCATGAAAGTAGGGCTTGTCCACGAAAGTATGAAAAGTTTCGTGGACAGTCCGCGGCAGAAATTTTCCCGTGCCCCGCACTTGACGAGGCAAGCATTCACGTGATCCGCAAGGAGCGTGTGCGTGCAACAAGTCAGTTCCTAGTTTCCACATAAACTCAAAATCGTGACAAAGACGAAGGGCACGGCTCCTCCTGTCAAGTTTGCCCTGTATTTTCCCCGTCAACTATTTCACTGGCATTGAGTCGGGCCCCTGATTGCTCTTCTAACGGATTGGGGCTTGGGCCTATCGCTGCGAGCCACCTGGGTCACAGCATTCCTACGTGGATAACCGTTCGAAAAGTTGGACCATGTTTGAACTAATAGGGAACCGACGACGACAACGCGTACAAGCGCTGCTGGGACGTGCAAAGCAGCTTGTTGCCGCATTTATGAGGCTCGGTTTCCAGGACAAATGCCCCCCACCTCCCTCCCAAACAAGCTCCCCAGCTGAAACAGGTGTTCAACTAAACCACCTGTCCCGCGCTATTTTCTCGTTCCGCTGTAGCTTGTCCATTGCGCAACTGGAACTTGTCGTAGGCGTTACAGTAGCTCGTCGTTTGTTGAAGTGTTGAGAAGATGCTGGTTGAGAAAATGGTGCAAGTTAGGTGGTATGAAAGGTTGTACACCCTGAATCTCGTTTGTCTCAAATCACGTAGCATAAAAAAGGGGATGCAGTCATTGCCAAGATCGGCTTATCACATTGTGAAATGGAATTTCACATTGCCCTGGACCAAATATGGCTTAGTGTGGAAAAAACCACATATCTTAACGGGTGAATCTGCTGATTCCTGAAGCTCCTCGTCGCGTGAACCCCCCATTCAGAACATTGTGTTTCATTATGTCGAGAGTTGACGGTTCGCTACAGTACGCGAGCCTTTCTTGCTGTTGCGATCCCTTCCACTTCCCATTGGTTTCCCTCCACGTGGGACCGGACACTCGTCACTCCAGAATACACCCCTAATTCTTCGGGGTCTCGGGAAATACCCGTGGCGGTCGGTTCCCCGAGCAGTCACTTACAATCACATTCCGAAAAAAACAAACGCAGCCGGCCTGACATACATGATTGATTTTAGCGATATTTAGGGTGTTTGCCAAATTTCGATGAGGTATGAGGAATGCTTGTAAAAAATATCTAAATATGTTAGTATAGACAATATAGGTTTATGCCTTTGAGGGTACAACACTCGAGGCTATATACCCCTGCACTCTCTCCTTCTAGTCACTTCTTCAATTCTGATATGGTATTATGAGTAGGTAGGTCCCACCGCCCGCCCACGCTTCCTCCCTAGGTCCTAGCCGCCCGTTCCCCCTAGCCGCGCCGTTCCTAGCCGGCCCCCGCGCTCGTTCCTAGCTGGCCCTCGCGCCCGTTCCAGCCGGCCCCTCGCGCCCATTCCTAGCCGGCCCTCGCGCCCGTTCCAGCCGGCCCTGCGCCCGTTCCCTGTGAGCCGGGCCGCCGCCGGCCCCATCACCCATTGTGTAGCCGCGCGCCATTCAGCACCGCCCTGCACCGCCCCTCACCACTTTGCACCGCACTACACCGCACAACACCGCACTGCACCGCACATCACCGTACTGCGCCACACAGCACCGCACTTCGCCCCGCTGTACCGCAATGCACAGCACTGCACCGCTACTGCATCGCTCCTGATGGCGGACTCCGTGCTCCGCTTCGACGCAGAGGGTCAGCCGCTCGAGTTTGACACATGGTTGGTCGACCTCCGCCGTCATCTTACTACAAGCGGCAGGAACGGCCACTCCCTGGCGGTCCACCTTGACGGTACGATTCCCTGACCTGACCCCCCTGCTGTCGTGCCCGCTGACCGTGAGTCCGCTGCAGCCACTGCCCTTGCCCCCTCAGTCTGGTTGTCGCGTGACGTCGTCGCGCAGCTTGCGATCAGTCATTCCCTCCCCCTGTCTGAGCGACCCCGCTTTCGGTCGGTCACGACTTCGCAGGAATTCCGAGATGCTGTTGTCAAGCGCTATTCCATCCCGCCCACTGCCTCTGTAGGTCGCCTGATCCTCCTGACCTTCTGTCTCTCCCCACTGTCGCTGACTTGTCCGCTGACCTGCGCACGATAGATGCGACTTGGCGCTCTGCCTGCACTGAGACCCAGCTTATAGCATTTCAGGTGCTCCTCTACTCTAGCCTCTACCGGCTTGCCACCCGCCTCCCTGACCGTCTTGCATGTGATGTATGCTGATGACTCTAGTGTGCATGCTTCTTACTACCCCTTGTTGCCTAGTGTAGGTGTTTCTAGTCGTGCTCCCCTGCTGCATCAGGCGTAGGATCCCCTGCTTTGTTTAGCCTTAGTGCTTCTATCGCTGCTCAGACTCCGGATGTCACTATTGCGCTCTCCTTCATCTTGGACTCTGGCGCTTCTTGGTGTTTCTTTCGCGACTCCACTACGCTGACGCCGCTTCCTGCTCCTGCTGCAGTTTCCCTTGCCGACCCCTCCTCCGGCCCGGTAGTCGCTCGCAGTTCCACCACCCTTCCCTGTCTGGCAGTTCCTTCGTGCTCTCTTACAGGCCTGTACATCCCCTCATTCTCCAGGAACCTAGTTGGTGTTGGCTGCCTACAAGACCTTGGTGTCACCACTACGTTCCCTGGTCATGAGCGGTATGCTGTCTGTACCGAGGCTGCCACTGGTGCTCCCTTCACCACGTTCCCCCGGGACCCGGTGTCTGGACTTTTCATACTGGACACCGCGACCCCCCCGGTTGGGATGTCCCCTCAGGTGTCTGCGTCTACCCAGGTTGCTGCCGCGTGCTCCTGTCGGTCGCTCATTCACCCGACACTACTGTTGCACTATCGTCTAGGTCACCTTGCCCTCCCGC